ATGACACTGCTTAAACGTTAGTGTAACATTTGAATATCATTCACTTCTTGATTAAGTTAACAGTGAAGATGTCAATAAACTTAACAATGAAACATTCATGACAAAATATCAATACTCATAGAGTATCTTTGGTTACCCTTTGGTTGAGTGTTAACTGCTTAAAATAATGACCCACAGCTATCCTGTTCCATATCATAATGTAATTTATTTAATAATGTGTTACGAGAAAACTGTGAGAAATTATTCTTCTATTAAATGTTTCGATTAATACTTAACTGAAGATTTGGTTGACCTAATTTCAAGGTATATTTTTTTCTACGATAGGTTATCTACGACGACAACGATTAGATAACTTTGATAATATGAAATTTTCACATAGAATTCAATGAGACGTTTGGTAATTCATATTACATGATTAGAATTCTTGACTTGCAGTATCACTGGGGCTTCAAGTGGCATTATTATTATTATTTCTCCCTTCGGTTCCTAGTGGAACATAGGGATGAAGTAGAACATCACCATCTCACTCTCTTCTCTCCACTATTCTCAACCGGCATCCACAACTCTCCATAACCATTCATTCATTCCTCACACAACCTCATCCATCTCACCCACACCTCACACACCCAACTCGTCGTTTCACATCTCACTTCCACTAGACGGTCTCGTCTGACATTTGACATCCACAAACCGTCTTCTCACTGTGTGTACAATTCAATCCAATCCATCTACACTATCTTCTACTGCATATTTCTTGTGCGATGGGTTCTCGGTTGCTTCTCTGACAGTCACAGTTCATCCTCACTTATTCTCATTATTCTAGCCACCTGATCTTCAGTATCCAGTGTAGGTGGCAGTTGTTGATGTGATGCATATCAGCAGTTTGTTGGAAATGCTTTTCGTGGTGTGCCACCAAGTCTCTCAACCATCACATAGAAGCACTGAATTACTTGACTGACAGTTGTCTTGCAAATCCGCATCTCGTTCACGCTTTATGCTGAGTGTAGTGGAGTGTAATGCAGTGTAGTGTAGTGTAGTGTAGCATAGTGTAGTGTAGTGTAGTGTAGTGGAGTGGAGTGGAGTGTAGTGGAGTAAAGTGTAGTGGAGTGGAGTGTAGTGGAGTGGAGTGTAGTGGAGTGTAGTGGAGTGGAGTGGAGTGGAGTGGAGTGGAGTGGAGTGGAGTGGAGTGGAGTGGAGTGGAATGGAGTGCAGTGCAGTGCAGTGTAGTGCAGTGCAGTGCAGTAGATCTCCACACTGATTATTTCAGATCAATGCAGGATGACCTGTCTTGCTCTCCTCCCGATCATGTCTTTGACAACCTCATGTGTGCCTGTGTTGCCTGTACTTGAGACGATGATGCCTGCCTAGCTGGGTGAATGAGACAACTTCCTCCTTTATATTTCTCCTGTTGATGGTTATTGTTTCTTGTTATTGATGTTGTTGGTTTGGCATATTCATGTGTCATCTCCGTCTTCTGTACGTTTATCTGAAGTAAGTCCCATCTTCTCTGCCTCTTCTGTCAACTTGTTAGTTTTCGCCTGTAGATCTTGGAGTTTGTGCAACAAGACATTAGAAATAAGTCGTCATCGGTGAAATCTAAATCTTCTTGTGTTATCTTTTCATCGGTCCAGCCAGCGTATGGCCATCTTCTCCCTGCTCACGGTTCGCTGCATGATCCACTCCACCACAATCAGGAAGATGTTGTAACTTCATGTATACACAAAATACTGGCTATAATCTATATTATTTCACATTCTACCAATGTGATTAGATAATTTGATAGTTTAATTAACTAAGCGAGCAACGAGGTTAAACATGTTTGGGACTCATTTTTTCAGTTGTGACAACTCAACTCGATGTATGAGATAAACTTCAATTCAATACACTTCATGGTTTCAACAGCTTAACTAGTAGATTGCAATACTTTAGTAGAAGTGTCTTCGAAAGCACATTCAGATACATAGGCAGATCGGTAACTGAAGGGTAACCAAATTTTATGTTGTGTAACCCTCTATCCTGATCAAATTCTGTTGACCTTCGCATAGTATGGCTAGTTAACTTGAAGACTGATCGTAACGATGCGTTTCGATAGATATTAGTTAGTTGAAGGCTGTCTGCAAGAAATTCTGCTTCACTTGGAGAAACTGAAGATCCATCTGAGACTTAAACCAGTGTCCTCCTGCGCTACAATCACAGACGTTTCCACTGAGCAACTTTGACAATAAATAACCCCCTGTAGAAGTGATTTACGTGCATTGACCGTCCATCGAACCGAGTAGCTCGAATAGCCCATTAGTAAAGTAGCTGAATACAACACTGAGTAAAGTGCTTTCGAATTTCTGAGAGGACATCAGTTCCGTTGATGTTACAAACACTCCCTGCTGATGAGTGCAAACAAGTACGAAACCAAAGTCCATGGCTTTCTGCTGATACCTCCCATCCAATTAATAATGTGGACATCATTTAGGGTATTAAACAGATCAGATGTTGTTCTCTGAATATTTTGATTTCCACATGAAATTAAAGTGAAGTTTTACAGTTGGGTCAGATGAAAAGCAATCTAAATGAAGAATATTCTTGATGATTCATGTCTAATATCGCTCAACCTCGAAGATCTACAGGCGAAAACTAACAAGTTGACAGAAGGGGCAGAGAAGATGGGACTTACTTCAGATAAACGTACAGAAGACGGAGATGACACATGAATATGCCAAACCAACAACATCAATAACAAGAAACAATAACCATCAACAGGAGAAATATGAAGGAGGAAGTTGTCTCATTCACCCAGCTAGGCAGGCATCATCGTCTCAAGTACAGGCAACACAGGCACACGTGAGGGTGTCAAAGACACGGTCGGAAAGAGAGCAAGACAGGTCATCCTGCATTGATCTGAAATGATCAGTGTGGAGATCTACTGCACTGCACTACACTGCACTCCACTGCGCTACACTCCACTACACTACACTCCACTCCGCTCCACTACACTCAGCATAAAGCGTGAACGAGATGCGGATTTGCAAGACAACTGTCAGTCAAGTAATTCAGTGCTTCTATGTGATGGTTGAGAGACTTGGTGGCACACCACGAAAAGCATTTCCAACAAACTGCTGATATGCATCACATCAACAACTGCCACCTACACTGGATACTGAAGATCAGGTGGCTAGAATAATGAGAATAAGTGAGGATGAACTGTGACTGTCAGAGAAGCAACCGAGAACCCATCGCACAAGAAATATGCAGTAGAAGATAGTGTAGATGGATTGGATTGAATTGTACACACAGTGAGAAGACGGTTTGTGGATGTCAAATGTCAGACGAGACCGTCTAGTGGAAGTGAGATGTGAAACGACGAGTTGGGTGTGTGAGGTGTGGGTGAGATGGATGAGGTTGTGTGAGGAATGAATGAATGGTTATGGAGAGTTGTGGATGCCGGTTGAGAATAGTGGAGAGAAGAGAGTGAGATGGTGATGTTCTACTTCATCCCTATATTCCACTAGATACCCAACGAATAAGTAATTATTATAAAGTGTGCGGTGGTCGACTAACTTTCTGAGTACATGTTTGCTGAATGATCAGTGCTATTAGACAAATATTTATTCTCGATTCGGCTATCTGAGATAGGAGTTCTTTTGCAGACTAGTATATGTACCGGGTGATGACTGAATGTGAAATGAAATTTTGGACCACATCAGGATTCGACCCAGTGACCACTGTGTTTCCTGCCCATTGCTCTTCCAACTGAACTACGACATCCCGCTACTTATCACAGTTTATTTCGTCTCAGTGACTATAGGTTTTGCCCGACTAGCATGTGAATTCGTGACGCGTTACTCCCGTAGTTATTGAAGTGAAATAAATATCTGGTCAGCAGTCAGACCTCGTACTTTGTAGCTGGTAGAACATTGACCTGGAAACCCGGTGGTCGCTGGTTACAGCCTTCAACCACTTGTTTCTGTTTTTCCGTTCGCTCCAACTAAGAAGTCTATTTTTACCGACTTGACTCATCACAGGAGTCAACAGGTTTATGTACCGATGGAGTGCTTTAGTTTGACCATTTCTAACCTTATTCCAGTCTTATTTTACTTCATCTCATATTGTGCGATGAAGCAGACACTGATTAAATATACGTTACACATGTCCCAAGCATATGAATCTATATAGTTTCACGGCCTGACCAACCAACTTTCCTTTTCTACCGGACACTCTTAGGCTGACCTTCACATTACTGATGTATTAGTACACAATGAACAGATCAGTACTATTTAAAAGTACGTTTTGTTAGACTCCATTTAGACAACGATACCTAAAGATCATCATAGGAAATTTGTCTACCTTCTTTCATATATATTTTCTACATTAGTGAACAAAAAGAAATACCTTTTTAATTAATCTTTTCAAAAGTAACATAAAACAGCCGTTGAACACACCTATTTGCATAGAAGTAGTATTCATCATGGACTGACATCAGTTGGGGAACCATTGGAAATCTGGGAGCACTGGACAGCTGTTTCGTCATAGTATGGGACTCCTTAGCAGTACGCACCTATGACCCGGCAAGGGGTCATCCCCGGAACCTTTAGGTTTCACGGCGAACACGTTAACCATTCAGCCACTGGGTCGGTTTCCAATGGTTCACAATTTCCAACTTCTGTCAATTCACGACATAGCGCGACTGTCACCCAAAGTTTTCAGTTAGCATCCACTTCACTTCCGACTGGTTGACCCCACAGGTCACTGGAAAACGACTCAGTGACTGAATGGTTAACGCGTTCACCGTGAAACCTGAAGGTCCTGAGTTCGATCCCTAGCCGGGTCGTGGGTGCGTACTGCTAAGGAGTCCCATACTATGAAGAAACAGCTGTCCAGTGCTCCCAGATTTCCAATGGTTCCCCAACTGATGTCAGTCCATGATGAATACTACTTCTAAATTAAAAAAATCCCCATTCATCTCAAAAATACATTACTTCTATTTGTATTTTAGTTAAGGCTAAAATATGGCAAGAGTTGGTAGAGGAATGCAAGCATGCTTGTCATGGATTAGTGAAAGAGATGGTCGTGTACCTTCGAATGCAATAGAAACAGGTGATGGAGTTTATATAGGTCGTATGTTTCATTCCGGTGATTTGATACCTGGAAAAGTTGTACCAAATTTGGGTAAAGCTTATGCCAGTTTTGGTGGTAAAGAATATGAATTCAACTCATATGAAGTATTGTGTGATACAAAATTACCTCATTGTAATCAACATTGGTAAGTTTATTAACTAGTGTATTGATGTATTTAACCTTCTGTTCATATCGAAACACTATTCAAAGAATGTGGTTAAATTTTCCAATCAGCATTCTTATTAACACTGATTGGTCATTGGTCTATAACAAGCTTCATGTTAACTGGTCCTATGTGCTGAACGAATTCTGTCCATCATTTAGCAGTCTGGCCATCAGACTATGCAGCTCAGCATCGCAATGCATTTTGATATGTTAGTTGGACGGAGGCAGTCGGCATGAAGCCCTGAACTTAGATTTCTTACTAGTTGATACTCGTCAAAAAGGCGTATCTGTAACCCTGAAAGGGCTAATATTCCGCCTGAGATTCAGTCACGCGTCACCCAGTGTTGTAGTCAGCGCCACCGAACCATTCCGGCTATCTGGGATTGTAGACACATCATTGCTGATGAGTGTTAACAAGCACCAATTCTAGGTCAAGTGCTACCAGCTGACTGCCTCCATACAACTGACATTCTAACTATCAACATGAAACCAGTTAAATTCCCATGAATTTTCAGTCTGAAAATACTTTTCAGAGCTAATTAGTAGCTCCCTTTGACGTGAGATTCCCTAAGTACTAAAGAGAAGTTGCGATAGGGGAAGCAATCTAAGTTATGCATGACGAAGGCTCATCGGATTCCCACCGATTAGTTTGATGATAATGTGCTGGTCACAAAAACAGAATATCCTAGATACAATCCCTGACGGCATCCTCGGCAGGCACTGATAAGGAGTTCAATACTAGGACAAAACATTTATCCTGCCACGAAATCACGTTTAGACTAAAGAGGCAAACTTTCTACATCTTCTTCTTCTTATTATCACTTTTCCCTTAGGTTCCCAGTCGAACATAGAGATTCACTAGCACGTCTCCATTACACTCTCTTCTCTCCAGTCTTCAAAACTAGCTCCACGACTACCAACAACCTCTCATTTCTTACCCACACAATCTCCTCAATGTCACCCTCAACTCGGACGCCCAACTCACCGGTCCCCATCTGAGTTACACTCGATAGACTTGCCTTGCCTGGCATGTGATGTGCCCAATCGGTCTTCTCAGTACACGCCCAGCCCAGCCCGATCCATCTCCACTTCCTTCTTCTGCATATTTGTTGAGCGATAGGTTCTTGCTTCGTTGGTTCGTTACCTGCCAGCCTGCCAGCCAGCCAGACACAGTTCCTCGTTGCTCATTCTTATTATTCTGGTCATCTGATCCTCATTCAGTAAGGAGCCAGTGTAGACAGCAGTTGTTGATGAATATCTGTAGTTTGTTGGAAATCCCTTTTGTGACACGCCAAGTCTCTCAACCATCACATAGAAGCACTGACTTACTAGACTGACAGTTGTGTTGCAAATCCGGATGTTGTTCACGCTTTATGCTGAGTGGAGTGCAGAAGATGTCCACACTGATTTCAGGTTGATAAAAGCAGGCCTGTCTTGCTGTCATTCCGATAGTCGCTGGCTTTGACGTCCTCGTTTGTGTCGCTTGTAGTTGAAACGATGCTGCCTAGGTGGTGGATGAAAGAGGATACTTCATTTACGTTTCTCCCGTTGATGGTGACTGGAGTTTGTTTTTGTTTTTGTTGGTGGTGGTGGTGGTGTTAGTTAGGTATCTTCATTTGTCACCTCTGTCTTCTCTACATTCACCTGAAGTCCCGTCTTCGCTGCCCTGCCTTGCCTCTTCTGTCAACTTGTTAGTTTTTGCCTGTACATCTTCGAGTTTGTGCCACAGAATATTTGACGTAAATCATTGCTGGCGAAATCCAAATCTTCTTCTGGGATCTCTTCCCCGGTCCAGCCAGCGTATCCCCATCTTCTCGCTCATCACTGTTGTCTGCTGCATGATCCAGTCAACCACAATCAGGAAGGTCATGGGTGATAGTAGACAGCCTTGTTTTACTCCTTCCTGTCTTCACTCTGAAAGTGTCACTGAGCCTCCCATTGTGGGTCACTTCGCATATCGCGTCTTCATATAGTTGTTGAATGAGATTGATAAAGGTTTGTGGTATTCCGTAGTGTTGAAGCAGCAGTTTCCAAACTACTTCTCGGTTGACGCTGTTGAAGGTCTTTCCAAATTCGATGACGTTGAGGTAGAGTCGAGTTGACTGCCATTCTATATTCTCTTCTATGAAGATGATTGTCGAAGCGTTGCGTTGTAATTTTGTCTGCATATGATTTGTACCTCCTGAATCCAGCCAGTCAGCCTTGTTCCGGTCATAGTTTTGAATGCAGCGCATTCTTTAGTCTCTCCAGGATGATGCAGCATAATATTTTACTTGGGATGGACAGGAGTGGAGCATGATTCCGTGCCAGTTGTTGGAAACACTTAGGTCTTCCTTCTTCGGGAGTTTGACAGGGTAGCCCTTCTTCTAATCTGAAGGTACTTTTCCTTCCTTTCAGATTTTCTGACAATATAGCGAATAATAATAACAAGACGAATACATATTTTTGTTATATAGCATTGGTCATGAACTAATATTAGTTGAAGAACCACTGAAAACTTGAGAGAACTAGACAGCTATTTCGTCTCAGTATTGGATTCATCAGTAACACATACTCATGACGCTTCAGGTTTCACAGAAAAAGAACTAATTATTCAGCTGTTCGTGTCTAGCAACTCCTTACTCAATTGCTACCTTTAGTTTAAATATATATCATTCAACCACTCAAAGTACCAAACTGAACTGTTTGATATCTGTAGATATGAAATTCGTTAGATGGCTGATCTTCTACTTTCAAGATCTATTCTTGCATGGTTCATCACTTTGATAGGCGAATTCATCAGCCATTAGTTTACATAAAAGCCTGAAGAACACTTAGCAATTATTAGCTTTTCTGCAATCTTAAAACGTATTGATGTTCTAAGTAATACTTACAGTTTCCTTAAGCGTTGTTATTTGTTGAAATCATTGTTTTATTGACAGTTATAAATGGGAACGTGATTGTGATGGACACGTTCCAAAATATGCTGTTGTTGGCGGTATGACTTCTTACAATGAGCCATTATATATTGCTCGACAACATATTGATGGAGAACGTGTTGTCGGAAAGGTAAGATTTTCTTTCACTTAAACATCATGTATAATTCTACGTGAAATAGAATTCATAGTCATAGTAGTTATTTCCTTTATGCGTATGTTTCAGGTATTATTATTATTACTATTTGTCCCTTAGGTTCCTAGTGGAATATAAGGCTACAGTAGCACGTCTCCAATGCTCTCTGTTCTCTGAAATCTTTTGAACCTGGCTCCATGACAGCCCACAACCTCTCATTTCCTCTTCGCACAATCTCCTCCGTGTCATCCTCGCCTCGGACGCCCAACTCGTCGCTTCCCATGGGGGTTCGACTCGATGGCCTGACACGTGATGTCCCTAGTCTGCCTTCTCAGTGTATACCTATCTCAATCCATCTCCACCTCCTTCTGCATATTTGTTGAGCAATAGGTTCTTGGTTGGTTCGTTGTCAGAGTTCCTTGTTGCTTGTTCTTACTATTCTGGTCATCTGATCTTCAGTATAGAGTGAGCGTAGGCGGCAGCTAATGGTGAATGTCTGAAGTTTATTGGAAATCTCTTTCGTAACGCGCCAAGTCTCTCAACCATCACATAGAAGCACTGACTTGACTGAGGTTGGTGTTGAAAATCCGGATGTTGTTCTACATGCTGAGTGCAGAAGATCTCCACACTGATTTCAGGTTGATAAAAGCAGGCCTGTCTTGCTGTCATTCCGATAGTCGCTGGCTTTAACGTCCTCGTTTGTGTCGCCTGTAGTTGAAACGATACTGCCTAGGTGTTGGATGGAAGAGGATACTTCCTTTAAGTTTCTCCCGTTGATAGTGATTGGAGTTTTTTGGTGTTGGTGTTGTTGGTTGTGTATCATCATCATCATCTCTGTCTTCTCTATGTTCACTTGAAGTCCCGTCTTCGCTGCCCTGCCTCCCCTCTTCTGTCAACTTGTTAGTTTTCGCCTGTAGATCTTCAAGTTTGTGAGACATCAGGCACAAGTCATCGGCGAAATCCAAGTCTTCTAGGTTCTTTTCCGCTGTCCAGCCAACGTATCCCCCTCTTCTCGCTCCCCACTGTTGTCTGCTGCATCATCCAGTCGACCACAATCAGGAATATCATGAGTGGTAGTAGGCAGCCTTATCTTATTCCTTTCTGTCTTCACTTCAAAAGCATCACTGAGCTCCCCACTGTGAATTACTAGGCATGTGGCATCTTCATAAAGTTGTTGAATGAGGCTGACAAAGGTTTGCGATATTCTGTGGTATTGAAGCAGTTTCCAAATTACTTTTCGATCGACGCTGTCAAAGACCTTCTCAAAGTCGATAAATTTGAGGTGGAGAGTTGACTGCCATTCTATACTCTGTTCTATGAAGATGCTTGTCGAAGCGTAGCGTTGCAATTCGGTCCGCACATGTTTCAGGTATAAAGTGGTTAGTCTCATGTTGTGATATTAAAATGAATAGTGACAGGCAATAGAATCCAAGACGTGCGTTTCTTTCTATTTCATCACTCACCAACTGGATGTAACTACCTTCTAGTGAGTAATGGTGACCCCTGTGAGATAAGCTATAATATTCAGGCCTCATGTATTGTTGTAAACATAAGTACTGATGTATGCCTTTGACATAAAAAAAATGAATGAATCGGCTTATTTTAAGACTGATAAGGAAAATAGGTGATAGTCACACAACCTTATAAAAGAAGTGAACTTCATTTGGTTGTCGCATAACTGCACAATTAACTGAATATAAACTTCGACAATGTAACTGATTTTGGAAATGCCTATGTAAGATTTTCAATGATGACGAACTTGTTTACTCTTCTACTAGTAACATACACTCAGTACTACATCTCATGCCAACAAATAAATATATATACTTTAGCATTCTGCTATTAGATTTGTTTATTTAATTTAAATTAAAGGAAGTAGCCTCTTTCATCCACCACCTAGGCAGCATCGTTTCAACTACAAGCGATACAAACGAGGACGTCAAAGCCAGCGACTATCGGAATGACAGCAAGACAGGCCTGCTTTTATCAACCTGAAATCAGTGTGGACATCTTCTGCACTCCACTCAGCATAAAGCGTGAACAACATCCGGATTTGCAACACAACTGTCAGTCTAGTAAGTCAGTGCTTCTATGTGATGGTTGAGAGACTTGGCGTGTCACAAAAGGGATTTCCAACAAACTACAGATATTCATCAACAACTGCTGTCTACACTGGCTCCTTACTGAATGAGGATCAGATGACCAGAATAATAAGAATGAGCAACGAGGAACTGTGTCTGGCTGGCTGGTTGGCTGGCAGCGAACTAACTAATCAACAATCTATTGCCCAACAAATATGCAGAAGAAGGAAGTGGAGATGGATTGGATTGAACATAAACAGAGAAGACAGTTTGGGGACATCACGTACTTGTTGTTGTTGTTGTGGTGGTGGTGGTGGTGGTGGTAGTGGTTGTTAGTTGGGTATCTTATCTTCATCACCTTTTTCTTCTCTACCTTCACCTGGAGGGAGTGTCGTCATCCATTCCCTGCCTCATCTCTTCTGTCAACTTGTTAGTTTCCGACTGTAGATCTTTGAGTTTGTGCAACATTGGACATAAATCATCATTGTAGATATCCAAATCTTCCTCAAATGTCTTTTCAACTGTCTAACTGGCATACACTCATCTTCTCGTTCCTCACCATTTGTTAAACATATGAATGGAATAGAACTTTGAGATTGTTCCTCTAGTAATTGGATATAACTTCACTGATTCACCCCTTAAAAATTAACTCGTTCAAGAAACTGATTACTTGTAACGAAAATTAAATTTTATTTCTGTGAATACAATAAAGCCTTTTTTGAAACAATTAGTCCCTTTAATAAATTTCGATAACGCTATTAGAAGACGAAGATTACAAATGTGCCTCTAACGAAAACAATTAATATTCTTTGCCACCACATATCTTCGAATTATCCTTCTTTACCTATTCCTTCAATTCATTTGAAACAACTCATTTTATTATGTACTGATAAGGTTCATTTCACTTTCGAAGGTGAACACTTTCAGCAAATTGATGGTGTAGCCATGCGAAGTCCATTAGAACCATTATCAACTGATGTATATATGTCACATACTGATCTAATGACTCAAGATCTAATCACCAATGTCACACTCTATAGAAAGTATATGGATGATATCTTTGTAATATGTGACACAGATGAGGATGTCAAGAGGTTGTTAAAAAGGCTTAATATCTGTACAAGATTATATCAGTCTGACATATGAGGAGGAAAAAGACCATCAACTTACATATACTGTTGTGCTGGAGGGAATATGGATCTATAAGATGATCAATATATAGGGAGTCTACTTGGACAGGACAGTATTTGAATTTCCATAGTTTTTGTCCGATGAAATATAAGAGAGGCTTGGTAAGATGCTTGTTCAATAGAATCCAACGTATTTGTACATCTGATACGATGGATGTTGAGAATAAGTTTCTGACAGACACTCTAGTGGAAAACGGTTATCCATTACAGTTTTTCAACCATTGTAAAAAACAGCTGACCCCGAAGCCTATAGTTTCCTCGGTCCCGAAGAAAAGCATATTTCTTAAAGTACCATACAGAGGGGAAACAAGTTGTATGATATTGAAGCAGAGATTAAAATCTGTTATCAGTAAAACATACTATGCAGCTCAGCTAATCATTGTTGAGACGACAAAACACCTGCTTCACCACAAACCTAAACCTCGCACAAACGATTACATCACATCCCACTGTTTTTTGCCAATTTATATGTATGTTTGGGTACACATACATAGGGTGGAGTAATAGTTCAATGCAGACTAGGGTGGGTGAACACATCCCCAAATGGCTTGAAAAGCAACTTATCACACAAACTTTGATAAGTGCATGTGACAGACATCCATCTTCATCTATAGCAAAGCATATTATTGAAATGAATCACAGGGTTAAACGAAAACAACATTTAAGATATTATATACGAATAATCAGGAGCACATACTGAAGTTTGCCGAAGCGTTAATCATTCGTAAACTTAAGCCCTCACTGTGCGTAAAAAAACAATTTGTTGTTTCACTTAATTTACCTTGATAATCCTTGGTAATCTCATTATATTACCAAGACTAGTGTCATAACCATTTCATATTCATCATACATTTGACCTTTAATTTTCATATATAAATAGACTTGATAAGTAAATGTGTAATCAGATTGTTCGAAATGTATTGCGCAAATACACATCACACTGCTCAGATAATCTTCGTCTTCTAATAGCGTTATCGAAATTTATTAAAGGGACCAATTACTTCTAATAACTTATTTTATCTTGTGAAAAGCAAATCAGTAAGAAATTATTTTTCGAAGAAGACATATAAGAGAATAATATTGTTTCGAAATGATGGAGAATATTTGTAGCTCAGGTGAATGGTCCTAGTTGTATTGTGTTCTCTGAGGAGCTGGGTTGTTTAATCGTGAAGCTTTCGTCGTCTTTCTAGACAGTGACATCATCAGCACTAACTTCACTATGAAGTATGAACTTCGTACTAAAGTTAGTGCTGATGTCGTCTGGCCAGACGATGAAAGCTTCACGATTAAACAATCCAGCTCATCAGAGAACACAATACAACCAAGAATAATATTGTTTTCAGTTTGCTCTCATCAGGCTTTACGCTAACATACATAAATTTTCTCAAATATAAAACATCAAACCAATTATAGTGGATTCTGTAGGCTGTAGTGACCATAAAGGGAAGCATATCAATAGTAGATGTGTAGACAATACTAATGATCTTGATGACGATAAGAATAATGGAAACAGTATGGTACTACAAACATAAACAAACAAATGTAGATTACAACTTCGAAAAACACAAGTTATGTAATACTGTAGGATTAAATGTGTAGATAATCATAGTCTAAACAAATAAACACTTTGATTATCATTTCGATTATCTGAGATAGCCTCGGGTTGGCAGATTAGTGTTTATACTGGGTGATGAATGAAGGTGAAATCAGAATTCGGACGGCAGCTGGATTTGAACCAGAGCCCACCAGGTTTCCGGCCCAATGGTCCACCAACTGAGCTACGAGGACCGACTGCTGACATGATTTTTATTTTACTTCATTTCCCGAGGGATTTTGCCCGACTACTATGTGAATTCATGATATATTACTACGACTACCTCGGCTGCCTACTCAGGACTTCCCATCTCAATCCAAGTCTAATTGAATTAGAGAGAGGGAGAGCATTATACTGGTTATCATTTTGACTATCTGAGATAGTCTTGGTTGACAAACGACCAAATGGTTGTAACGCATCAAGAATCACATAGTAGTTAGGCAAAATCCATGGTGATTGAAGTGAAATCGAAATCTGTTCAGCAGTCAGATCCTGTAGCTGGTAGCTGGTAGAGCATCGAGCCGTAACCCTGGTGGTCGCTGGTTCGAACCCGGCCGAAGTTCGAATTCTAATTTCACCTTCAATCATCACCCAGCATAAATAAACATGTATAGAAGGGGTAAAGGAAGGGGAAGAATATAAAAATTGAATTTATCTGGTTATCCCTTACCAAGGCAGAGATAAAGGCTGCATAAACTTTTTCTGCACACAAAGACTAGGTTTGTTTTCTCTAATTCCTATAACTGGAGTGCGAATTCTATTCGAAAGATTTTGTGGGACATGACAAATAGTTATGAACGCTTTGATATTGTCTATTGCATGACCACTGTCGACCAAATGTGACAGAATTGAACTTCCTATTGCCTTCACTTTTCCCTCTCCTAGCCATGACAGTAGAGACTCAACAACATGTTTGTTAAGCTGCCTAGTTGTAAGCCTTATAAAGCTTACTCCACAAAAGCAACTGAATTGATAAATGCACATAGAACTGGTAGAAATAGGAGGCTTATCTTTTGTCTGAGCAACAGTTATTGGCCGATTAGAAAAGGATAAGTAAAGGTTAGCAGCATAGAAACTTCTTCTGATGGCTGAAGGCAGCTTGTGGAACAGAACTTCATCAGGATCGTCCCCTATAAATTGAAGCTTCTTGAATACTGGTTTCTTTTCAACAATCATTTGATCAGATTGCTTATTCACTGTGTTCATGTGTCTCTTGATTAAAACTATTAAGGTAACCCGTTTCCTGCAGCATATTATAAGTGTCTTCTAACTCCTTTTGTATCAAGTCATCGGAGCTGATCCTACTGGCTCTGTTTGCAAGACACTTAATTAGTCTTCTTTTATATCCTTAAAACAGTTAGGCCCTTTTATGAAGTTGGATAATGTAATTAGAAGACGTTGATCATCTGAACAATATATGCTGTATTTGCGCTATACATTTCTACCATCTCATCACACATTTACTTGTTAAGTCAATTTATACATGAAAAGTGGAAGTGGGGGAAGGATAAATATGACATAAAGGATAATGAAAGGGAGAAAAAAGATAAGATTTGGAGACAACCCTGGTATTACGATAAAATCAGCATTACTAGGGCAAGCTTAGTGTAGGGACAAAGTGTTTTTACACTTACAGTGGGGGGTTAAATTTGTTTATGACCAGTGCTTCAACAAACTGAAGTATGCGCCTCACTGTAATAGTTTCTATGCAGAGTTGTAAAGTCTGTTTTAAAATCAATCCTTCCACCTTTATCAATGATATGCTTTGCAATGTATGATGACGGTTGCCTACTACCTGCACTTATCGACGTCTGTGTATCCAGCTGCCTTTGTAGCCATTTTGGTACATGTTCTGCTGCCCTCAAGCGCATATCCCGATTAGTCCACCCTATGTGTGTTTGTCCACACACACACACACACACACACACACACACATTTAAATTTATAAATGTAGTGGGATGTGACGTAATCGTTTATGCAGCTTTGACGTCTATGTTGTAGTAGGTGTTTGGTCTTCTCAACTACGATAAGCTTGGCTGCAAAGTACGTTTTACCAACAGCAGACCTTAACCTTCGTTTTAGTATTATGGTAATAGATTCTCCTCTGTATGGTAACGTGATGTATCCACATTTCTCCTTAACAGAGTACAGATTAGGTCTCAATCCTAACTGATTTTTGCAGCGGTTTACGAACTTCAGTCGATATCCATTTTCCACTAATGTTTCCGTTAGTATTCTGATGTCATCATCCATTGAGTCTTCTGTAGAAATACGCTGGATCCTTTTACCAAACCTCACTTGTATTGGCTTGGATAGCAGCTATGGAAACTTAAATACTGACCTGTCCAAATAGGTTACCAGTAAATCTATGGTTTTATTGAACCATCATTCCTATGACGTTGGAGTATATCCAAGAACCCCAGACGGTCTTCTTTCTCTTCTTCACATGCTAAGCTTACGTTGTTTTGTACGATGTTGAGTCTTTCTAACAGACATGTCTCATCCTCATACTGGTCACATATCACCATTATATCGTTGACATACAGTTTGTCTTTACGTTAAGCTTACCTTGGTAATGCTTATTTTATCGTATTACCAAGGTTGTCTTCAAATCTTATCCCTTTTTTCTTCTTTTCATTATCTTTCTGATTATTGAATTCCTTTATGTTATATTTATCCTGCCCCCACTTCCAGTTTTCATTTGGAATGCCTTGTGACAAGTCCATGTGTCGTCAAATTATTCGAGATGCATAGCACAATTACATCATAGATTGTTCAGATAATTCACTTCTTTAATATATATATGGTATCGAGATACTATTTCTGAGCAATTCACATTCTAACTACATTCATAGTCAGCTGAGAATCATGGCATAAATATAATTTGCAGGTTTGTTGAAATACGTTCAAATGACAAGATTAATGAACGATTATTTTTTACTAGCCTATTTTAACTGAGAAAACAATGGACTGACCACTTCAAAAAGCTCTTGAATCGAGCACCACTTGCAACTCGTCCAGAAAAACCACCAGCAACATTAGAACAATCAGTAAACACAGTCACTCCGACAAAAGCAGAAGTTCTGAATGCCATAGAACTGCTGAAATCTATGAAATCAGCTAGACCGGATGAAATTCCTCCAGAAGCACTGAAAACAGACGGAGAGACAATAGCGGATATGCTCAAACCACTAGCGCAGAAGGTTTGGGAAGAAGGAAAGGTACCTGGAGATTGGAAGAACGGCAAACTTGTCAAACTCCAGAAGAAGGGCGACCTAAGTGTTTCCAAGAACTGGCATGGAATCACTCTGCTGTCCACCCAAAGCAAAATATTAGGTCGCATCACCCTGGAGAGAATAAAGGATGCACTGCATTCAAAACTACGACCGGAACAGGCTGGCTGGCTGGATTCAGGATGTACAAATTATGTGCGGATGAAGTTGCGACGCTTCGCATCATCATAGGACAGAGTATAGAAAGACAGTCAACTCGACTCTACCTTAACTTAATCGAATTTCAAAAGGCATTTGACAGCGTCGACCGAGAAGTAATTTGACAGGCAGCTGTTTCAACACTACGCATTTTGTGCCACAAATCTTTGTCAACCTCACTCAACAACTATATCAAGATGCCACATGCCAAGTGATACACAGTGGAAAGCTCACCGACGTCTTTGAAGCGAAGTGAGAACAGGAATAAAACATGGCTGCCACCTACTACACCATTCATCTTCCCGACTATAGTCGACTGGATCATGCAACAAAAACAGTGAGGAGCAAGAAGATGGACATTCGCTGGATGGACTGATGAAAATACCCCACAGGAAGATTTGCATTTCCCCAATGATGATTTATGTTTAATGTCCTGTTGCACAAACTCGACGATCTACAGGCGAAAACTAACAAGTCGACAGAAGAGGCTAGGCGGGGCAGCGAATATGGGACTTCAAGTGAATGTAGAGAAGACGGATGTGAAGAAGATATTCAACCAACAACAGCATCAACAACAAGAGGCACCAATCACCATGAACGGGAAAAACCTAAACGAAGTAGTCTCTCCCACCTAACACCTACCTAAGCGAGGCAGCATCCCTCCAACTACAGGTGGCGGTGGCACAGACGAGCATGTCAGAACCAGCCAGCATGGGAAAGACAGTAAGACAGGCTTTCACTAATCTGAAGTAATCAGAGTGGATATCTACTGCACTGCACTGCACTGCAGTCAACACAAAGCGTGAACAACATCCGGATTTTCAACACAACTGTCAGTCATGTAAGTCAGTGCTTGTATGTGATGATTGAGAGACTTGGTGGTGCGTTACGAAAAGCATTTCCAACAGACTACAGATATTCATCAATAACTGATGCCTTCACTGGCTCCTTACTGAATGAAGATCAGATGACCAGAATAATAAGAATCAGCAGGGAAGAACTCACTCTAGTCGGACAACGAACCAACCAGGAACCTATCAACCTACAAATATGCAGTAGAAGGGAGTGGAGATGGATTGGGTTGGGCTGGGCTTGGCAGGGCTGGGCATGCATTGCGAAGACAATTTGGGGACATCACGTGCTAGGCTAGGAAGGGTCATCGAGGGGAATGCAATGGGGAAACGACGAGTTGGGTGTCCCAGGTGAGGGTGACATGGAGGGTATCATGTGAGGAGGAGATGAGAGGTTGTGTGCAGTCGTGGAGCTATGTTTTGAAGACTGGAGAGAAGAGAGTGGAATGGAGGTGTGCTAGTGAATCCGTATGTTCCACTAGGAACCCTGGGGAAAAATAATAACAATAATTTTAACTTATGCTTTCTGTATTGAAGTGTCTTGATTAATTCTAACATACGATTTGTAGTATTGAACAATACTTGAGCTAATTTGATGTAGTTTTGCTTTTGTTTTGTGTTAATTAAAGGTTCATGAAGGCCATGAATGTGCATATTTCCCATATGGTGGTGAAGAGAGAAAACTACATCATTATGAAGTCCTTGTCTTAATAAAATAATTTTTGTTACAAGAAACTCAATCAACTTTCCAACAACAACAACAATATAAAATAACTTCATTTTATGGTGTTGATTGTAATGATTGCCAAGTTGAACGATTAGATTTATGTATTCATTTTTTTGTAAGATCATTATTGTTTCTTTGTTGTCCTTAACATAGTAATGACATCGAAACATTAATTTATGACATTTTGCGACCTCATGGAAGGTGTTTCTTCAGAGAATTAAACCTGTTTAAGTTATCATATGCTTAACCAGTAAGTAAGAAAAAGAAATGACATCTAGAAAGAAGGTGGCGAAACATCAGAACACCATTTTTCATCTAATCGAAAGAACTTTAGCGAAAGCTGCAGCATCTAGTCAATGGAAGTGAATATTCAGTCAGCTGAGCAAGTGAATTTCTAGACGAAATAATAGATTTAAGGGTAATTGGTGATGACACGATGATATCCTTTGATGTTACCTCTATATTCACTCCAGTTGATTCAAATCTAGCTAATGAGACAATAGATATTCCTTTGAAGTATGATTGAACTCCATCTGAAGGAGGATAACAATGTCTTCATCAACAGAACACATGACCAGATATTACTAAGTCAAGTATTAAGGAAAGTCATACACGTTGATTAAATTTTGAACTAAAACAATAATCACTCTACAGATCATAAGAAATATTGTGTACAAACTTTATTCTCAAGAAATAAAACATATTGGAGCACTGAAACACTGAAATTGTTCAAAGTATTCAAAGCTGATGATTATTCACTCCATCTTATCGAAAAATGTATATCAGTGAGGTAGAAGACTAGGTAATTGCCTGAAATTGAAGGTATCTTGAAAATATCCGTTTGGAACCAGATTAACCCATAAATCAATGAAATGATTATACAGTATGTTGTTCAAAATAAAGGATCCGTTGACAAAAGAAGACAAGACAAATTGAATCTACAAAATCAACTACAAAAATTGTTCACAACATTTTTTGGTCAGTCTAGCTGTAGGATTGCTCAAACTATTCATGAACATCAACTAACGGTACAGACAATGATGATCACAAATTCGACTAGGAGGATATGGATTCAAAGAGAAATATTTTAGAAGTCTGACATTCAAACGAAATGTCAATCAACAGATAGTTGAATATAAAACCCAATTTATAATCAACTTAGTAACAAAAACCTTCATCCATTAACCAAGGGAAAATTGATCAAACAAATCAGCAATAATGAGTAGTGTGACTGAAGGAAATTTGAGGCCAAAGAGGTCACGTTATGATAAAAATCTCTTCCTCAACTTACGATTGGACAACACTCAAGGTCATTAAAAAAAACACTGTACAAACCTTCGTGTTTGAATTGAATATGCTTCAATTTTTTGACGAAGTTAGTGCTCAAGATATCCCCACATCTGGTGATAGTGTAGTAGGCGTTATTGATCAGAATGGATATCAGTAGTATATGTTTGGATGGCAGCAGAAATCATATGGGATTACCAGCAATGGGTAAAGATTCTGATCAGAGAAACGCAAGGGACAACGTGGGCGTATTAAGAGTAAAACAAGGTAGAAGCAGTAGAAGAAATGAAGAATGTTATACAAATGAATGTTTCAGTGGAAGATGCACAACATTTGGTGAACGCTGTACAAAATGTCGGTCTTGGGCGTCTAGGATCCAGAAGTGAAGGTTGTGGTGGTTAGCACGTTGCTGAGGGGGTAGAACGAGAGTGGCATATGATGGCGTGGAACTTATGGACGAGAAGGAGAGAACTGGAGGACGGAACTGCCGTTAAGATTCTTAGCGCATCGTGCCTCGGTACAAGGAACAATTAAGAAGTCGTCGTTCCAGTTACTGTATGGTAGGAAACCACAGCTCCCAATACATAGTAAGACCTGACCCCATCAACAGCCGTGGAATACGACAAGGTTGATAAAGGAGACGAAGCAGGCAACCAGAAATGTGGAACAGAAACAGAAAGCTGAGGCTGAAAAATCTCAGCAGAGAGAAGGAAGTAAATGCAAACCGGTTGAGATCGGTGGTCAAGTGAAATGTAGAGAAAGTGGATACAATTCAGGAAGTGAATACGGTACAAGAAAATTGCTCTCGAAGTGGGAAGGACCATGCATCATTACCGAAAGACGCGGTTCAGTTTATACCATCAAAAAAGGGGATGAAGAGAAAAGAGTAAATCCCAGCCTACTTCGAAGATGGAGACGGTAGGAAAAAGAAGGGACTTTGCATGAACACCAAGAGAAGACAGCATCAAGACGATCAACACGGCTGTAAACCCGAAATTTCGACGGATGGGGGGGGCGAGTGTAGTGGGCGTTGTTGATCAGAATGGATGCAATTAGCATACGTTGAGAAGGTGGCAGAAATCATAGGAAATTACCAGCAATAGGTAAAGATTCTGACCAGAAAAAAGCAAAGGATAATGTGAGTGTACTAAGAGAAAATCAAGGTGGAAGTAGTAGAAGAAATGAAGCACATTATGCATATGAGTGTTCTAGTGGAAGGTGTACAATATTTGATGGCTACTGTACAAGATGTCAATAATAACCATTCCCTCCTGTGTCTCAGTTTCATCATTTCCTTCAATAGGACGCCCACGATAAGATATCAAAGCTTGGAGAACACGAAACCATCAAGGTACCATAAAAAGGTACCAAGTTTTTCTGCTCCAACTATACTCCTCTTTCTCTAATCAATTTCATAAAGCGGAATATGTGTAGAAAATGTTTATTTCTGCTGTTATCCACTTTACAGTGAACAAAGCAGTGAATATGCAATTCACATAACATTATCATGCATAACGCTTGAGCTAGTCATATACTTTTGTACATGTACACATTATATATATCATCGTGATATGCGCTTCAATTATAATAGCTATTTCCTCTATCCATAGCGAGACAAAACAGTTTCAAAGTATTCATTGTCTTTACATAAGTTACCAATGCATAAGCATAAACTGACAAAATTCCTTTCTAAGAAGATCTAAAATTCTCTTTCATATATCGTAAAAACAGAAAATATATCCTGACAAAATTATTCTCAAGGTTATTGTCTCTTTTACCTACCCACCTAACTACACACCTACCTACCTAGCTACATACGTACATACATGCATACATACATACATACATACATGCATACATACATACATACATGCATACATACATACATACATGCATACATACATACATACATACATACATGCATACATACATACATACATACATGCATACATACATACATACATACATACTTACTTACTTACTTACTTACTTACTTACTTACTTACTTTCTTACTTACTTACTTACTTACTTACTTACTTACTTACTTACTTACTTACTTACTTACTTACTTACTTACTTACTTACTTACTTACTTACTTACTTACTTACTTACTTACCTAGACACCATCGTTTCAACCACAGGCAGCACCACAGATAGACAATGTCACAGATAGGATTTCAAAAGACAGCGGGATGAGCCATTCTGCATTGATCTGAAATAATCAGCGTGGATATCTACCCCACTGCACTGCATGGCACGGCACGGCACAGCACTCCACTCCACCGCACTCAGTGCAAAGCGTGAACAACATCCAGATTTGCAACACACCTGTCAGTCAAGCAAGTCAGTGCTTGTATGTGATAGTTGAGAGACTTGGCGTGTCACGAAAGGGATTTCCAACAAGCTACAGATAATCATCAACAACTGCTGCCTACACTGGCTGACCGGCAACGAACTAACTAACCAACAATCTATTGCCCAACAAAGATGCAGAAGAAAGTGGAGATGGATTGGATTGGACATAAACAGAGAAGACAGTTTGGGGACATCACGTGCTTGTCGTTGTTGTTGTTGTGGTGGTGGTGGTGGTAGTGGTTGTTAGTTGGGTATCTTATCTTCATCACCTTTTTCTTCTGAACCTCCACCTGCAGGGAGTGTCGTCATCCATTCCCTGCCTCATCTCTTCTGTCAACTTGTTAGTTCCCGACTGTAGATCTTTGAGTTTGTGCAACATTGGACATAAATCATCATTGTAGAAATCCAAATCCTCCTCAAATATCTTTTCAACTGTCTAACTAGCATATACTCGCTCCTCACCATTTGTTAAACATGTGAATGGAATCGAACTTTGGGATTGTTTCTCTAGTAATTGGATATAACTTCACTGATTCACCCCTTAAAAATTAACTCGTTCAAGAAACTGATTACTTGTAACGAAAATTAAATTTTATTTCTGTGAATACAATAAAGCCTTTTTTGAAACAATTAGTCCCTTTAATAAATTTCGATAACGCTATTAGAAGACGAAGATTACAAATGTGCCTCTAACGAAAACAATTAATATTCTTTGCCACCACATATCTTCGAATTATCCTTCTTTACCTATTCCTTCAATTCATTTGAAACAACTCATTTTATTATGTACTCATAAGGTTCATTTCACTTTCCAAGGTGAACACTTTCAGCAAATTGATGGTGTAGCCATGCGAAGTCCATTAGAACCATTATCAACTGATGTATATATGTCACATACTGATCTAATGACTCAAGATCTAATCACCAATGTCACACTCTATAGAAAGTATATGGATGATATCTTTGTAATATGTGACACAGATGAGGATGTCAAGAGGTTGTTAAAAAGGCTTAATACCTGTACAAGATCATATCAGTCTGACATGTGAGGAGGAAAAAGACGATCAACTTACATATACTGTTGTGCCGGAGGGAATATGGATCTATAAGATGATCAATATATAGGAAGCCTACTTGGACAAGACAGTATTTTAATTTCCATTTCATTCAGCTTTTAATTTTACTGATTGTTCTTGAAGAATCTCATCAAGAAAAAAGCAGAAATAACTGTCCTTTATTCTCTACAATCTCTCACTGTCTTCCAGTGTATATCTTAAACTGTCTTGCAACTTATCATAGTGATTTCGACTGGCTAACTGACAGATAGACAGAGGGATAGACAGACAGACAGACAGACAGACTGACTGACTGACTGACTGACTGACTAACTGACTGACATGTTTGATTCACTATTATTTTAAAAACTTGCTTAGAAAGGAATGACAACATGAAAAGATTAATTTTTTAATTGTAGACACGATACTGACATTGAAATATATTGAGATGAATACGTCTTTAGTAAAAGTTCAATGATTTTGTTAATATGCAGGATTGCATTCTTTTTGATGAATAACATATACTATACTGATGGATTCCATAACCATATAATATTAATTAATTACTGTGTCAAAATATCCTCTTTTTTTGAATACTTCTTTCTGAGTTCAGAGAATGAGTAAATTTCAATTGTTGATTACTAATACTTCATATTCATCATTTTTATGTTCATCTCCGCCCCAAGCAAAAGATGCACTCCTCTCACCTTGAAGTAACTAATAGGATGTTGAAAATATTTTAAAAAAAGATAACAGTAATTAGTAATAAAGACCAGTAGAGATGTGGGGAGATGTCGGCTACATGGCTGAGGTTCTCAACACGATAAGAATCAATGGTTGAGAACTCGTGGTGACTTGAATGCAAATTGGCATCTTCTAAGGCTTTAATATTCGCACTTACCTTTATCTCCAAATTGTTATCCACCAAACCACTTAGCCACGACAGCCACTTCTTAAGAGATGTGTAAAGTTTTAATATAATTGTTTTCATACCATACCGGCGTTTGAAGCGATCGCTGCCGAGTCCGAATCCCTGTGGAAACAGTATCACTCACTGGGAAGCAGGTACATGCAGCCGATGAGTCCCAAATAGGACGAAATGCGCATCCTGAATTCCACTGCTAGCCACGATTCATCATTAACATAATTAGAATGCAGGCAATATCGAGGTATTCACACAGGAGCCCATATGCTAACAGAGACCGGACAATTCGGTCCAATCAACGACGGTCTGATATCACTGTTTTTCTATTCGCTTATCTTTTTCAAACTACTGTGAAGTATGGCAACTTGAAATGATGCAGTTGTGCACGAGGTTCTACGTTGATTTCTTTTGCCTGTCTTACTGACGTATTCAACTATTTCCACAACTATTTACGAAATATCTAAAAGATATACTGTGAGGAAGCTTTCTTCTCATCACTGAACATCTTATTAATGAAACTTTCAATTGTTTAAACGTTTAATGGTAAGTGAACGCACTTTGATTATGAAACAACTTTTTTACTGTCAAGTTTATTGAAGACCATTGTAGAAAACAGAACTATCATCTAGGAATATTACGAATAAATTGTCCATTTTCAAGATTTTGTATTCCCCCAACTATTGAAAACCAGATAGCGTATAACAGCTACTTCGACCTAGTAGGGTACTCCCCAGCAATATGCAAAAACGATTCCGCCAGGGGTACAACCTACGATCATCAGGTTTTGCAGCTGTCTAACTAATGGTCGACATTCTGATACTTCTGTTCTCTCACATAACTTAGTTGCACCAAAAGGTAACATCTTCTCTTCAATAGATATAAGGGATGTTTTGTAGACATGGAAATAATCATGACCAGATCATCGTCCACATATTATTAGTTCAATAATTAGTGTTAAGAGGAAGCAAGTTAACCAGTATAACAATAATCACATCAAGTCATTTATTTCAGGTTTAATCTATACTGTGAGTACTGAATAAGCTCGTTACTTTCTAGTGCTTTATGTTATCTTTGAATTATTTACACAATGTTATAAAAATAACTCACCTTTCCAACGCATGTTTCGTCTTGAATTCTTCCTTTGACAACATACAATGGTGTACCGTTTCTGTCGATTCCAGCAACTAATGCCCTTTCTGGAACATCACCTCCATTCATCATTATCCATTCATATCTAGGTGAGATTATAAAAATAATTCCATTTTAGTCTCTTTATAAGGAATATCACAGTAGTGAAACAGTAGCATTTACTGAATAACGTCTTGGACACAATTTATTGTCCATATTCATATCAGATGACGCAACTCCACAACTTCGAGACAGACGGTATATATTCCTAATTTTCTCTCCTTCTCTGTGATGACAAGGATAGTAGAATTTTCCATATATCTGGGTCAGGTGTAGAAACACTTCCGTTACTGCATGTATTTGTTGATTCTATAAAAAAGGATTCAGCCATCAGTCTCTCCCTCCCTCCTTCCCTCCACCCAACTAAGTTAGTTTTCAATACTGTCGCCCTATCCCAAGCTACTGTGTGATTGTGTGTCATCGCATGCAGAGCTATAGCCGAGCTTTTCTCTACATTTCTTATCTTACTGGGATCTACTAATTTTGATTAAGCTAAGTTTTTGTGCTGTGTTATTCTAATCGATCCTGGTCGACTACTTTCACCTGTGTATTTAACCTCGCAATCATTGCAAGGGATTTGGTAAACCAGATTATTTTGCTTAATTGCATCAATAGGATCTTTTAACCTACAAAGCTTGTTTCTAAGCAAGTTTGTTGGTTTGAATGCCACTTTAATCCCAGCCAGCCTTATTGAGAATTCTTCAAAATGCTTCTGAGGTGTCTTTCTTTTATGGTAATGCAGCAGAGTTACCTGATACGAATATGGACAATAAATTGTGTCCGAAATGTCATCCAGTAAATGACACTGTTTCACCACTGGGTGATATTTTTAATAAACAGACTAAAATGGAATTACAATCGACCACAGTGCCCAAGTTTTACTCTTATATTATGAAAATAAGTTTTATCATTATATTATATACCCGTTTGCATGTATGATAGTGATAGAATTAGTGCTCAAATAGCTACGAAAGTAGTTGAATTCATAAACATCGATAAACACAGTTGGCAGACAAGCATATTCATCCACTGAGAAACATATTATTGAATCAGGTTAAAGGAATGATATGTTCAAAAGCAGTCAGTGGTGTATTTTTAGGTTTGAAACAGTTAGTCCATTTTATAAATTTCGATAGCGTAATTAGAAGATGAAGTTTATCTGAGTAATGTGATGTATTTACGCAATACATTTCGAAAAATCTGATCACTCATTCACCACTTGTCAAGTCAATATGTATTAAACCGAGGACTAGGAGGGGGGATAAATACAACAATTAACACAATAGGGGGTTCAAATCACGAAAGATGAGGACAAACAGGAAGTGACCTATTTGATCGTAATCTGACCAAAGCACTTATGGAAAATGGATATCCGACGAAGTTTATAAACCGTTGTAGAGGTCAAGTAGCACGAAAGCCAACTCTATACACGGTTACTAAGATAAGTATCTATATCACCCTACCATATAGAAGGAAGCTGAATAGTATCATTTTGAGACGTAGGCTGACAACAGCCATTCAGAAAACACATTACGCGAAGAATCTTATCATTGTGAAAAAAAAAACACAACGCATACTTCAGCAAAATCCTAAACACTGCATCAGTGATTACGTCATATACCATCGTATTTACCAATTTACATGTGTGTATGGTCACACATACATTGGGAGGAGTAATTGGGCCATGCAGTTGAGAGTGGGAGAACATGTACTCAAACGTTTTCAAAAAACAAATGGAGTGTGAAACAGTGATAAAAGTTGATGGGAGACGACCCTCTTCATCTATAGCTAAACACATCATAGAAACAGGTCACAAAGTTAATGTTCAAACAGCTTTCCTAGTTTTATATAGAAACAGTAAAGGAAGTATACTGAGATTTGTGGAAGCCATAGCCATACAGAAATTTAAACCACCTTTGTGTTTTCCGAAGAACAATTTGTTCTTACACTACACCTACCTTGCTTGGTAAACTTTGTTTTCTTACCAAGATTAGTATCAACTAGGTCACTTCCTATTTGTCCTCATCTTTCTTAATTTTAATCCCCTATTGTTTTTAATGTTGTATTTATTTTCCCCCCCCTGGTCCTCCTTGACTTGACAAGTGGTGAATGTGTGATCAGATTGTTCGAAATGTATTGCGTAAATACATCACATTATTCAGATAAACTTCGTCTTCTAACTACGCTAGCTATATAGGAATTTAAGCCCCTGTTGTATGTTCAAAAGTGGTTTATCCTCAAGTTAAATGTATCCTAGTAATTGAGATGATGGAGAACATCTGTAACTCAGCAGAGCCATTTTGATTGTGTTGTGTTTTCTCAGTTGGATGGTTACCTGGATAACTATGGATGTGATTGATTGTTTCTACTGAAACCTTGTCATTGTGTCCAGGTCTGTTTCAACTATCTGTCCTGCTAACATGAACTCGGGCCTTTTTGTTGTCTCCTGTTTTTCTCATTGGCTGATAAATTGGGTCACTGTCAACACAACTGACTAGCCTGAGTGCCAAGCTTCTAAAAGTTCTCTGGCATTATTTGTGTTTTCTGTACCCAGGATCACCACATTCTCTTAATCAGATATATACTCAAACTTGTTATGAGCAGGGGTATATCATGACGACTCACAGCTTGTTTGGTCTTTTTCACGTATGGCGTCTATCAAAAAACCTTTACATATTAGTGTGTATGCAAGTTAAGTTTATGAATCTGCGTTAGATAAAGTGACTTGAGCATTTTACAAACATGTCGACATCAAATTCACAACTGAAGGAGAATCAAATCATAAACTTTGAGGGAGTTGTGGGGATTCGGAAATATTTCAGGTTGTTATTCATCGTAGACTGACATCAGTTGGAGGAACAAAGGAAACCTGGGAGTACTGGACAGCTGTTTCGTCCTACTATGGGATTCCTTAGCAGTGCGAAACCACGACCCCGCCAGGAATCAAACTCATGACTTTTAGGTTCCGTGACCAGCACGTCACCATTGAGCCACTGGGTCAGAATCCAGTGGCAAAGCCTGATGGCCGTGAGGACAGTTACTCAACAATGACGGTTGCACTATATCGTGAGCTAAGAGAAGTTGAAAATATGGACGATTGGATTCTGACCCAGTGGATCAATGGTAACGTGCTGGCCACAGGACCTGAAGGTCACGGTTTCGATCCGTGGCGGGGTCATGGGTGCGCACTACTGAGGAGTCCCATACGAGGATGAAACAGCTGTCCAGTGCTCCCAGGTTTCCTTTGTTCCTCCAACTGATGTCAGTCTACAATGAATATTAACAACTTGAAATCATAAACTTACAGTTTTAGATGTTCTGATCTCTAGAACGGATTTAGATAAAATCTTGTTATTACACTACACCTACCTTGCTTGGTAAACTTTGTTTTCTTACCAAGATTAGTATCAACTAGGTCACTTCCTGTTTGACATCATCTTTCGTGATTTGAACCCCCTATTGTGTTAATTGTTGTATTTATCCCCCCTCCTAGTCCTCGATTTAATATATATTGACTTGACAAGTGGTGAACGTGTGATCAGATTATTCGAAATGTATTGCGTAAATACATCACATTACTCAGATAAACTTCGTCTTCTAATTACGCTATCGAAATTTATAAAATGGACTAACTGTTTCAAAAATACTACTTAATGACTGTTTACTAGATGAACGGCTATCCATGTAACTTCATCAAAAGATGTTTACATAGTTCATCATCAACCAAGAAGTCAAGCTCGAAAGCTAACAAACGGATTGTCCTACCCCATATGAAGAACATTTCCGAGATGACGACTAGATTATTAAAGCCCGTCAGAATTGCTACATTTTATATGCCTATGAAATCTCTTCAGTCTTTTTTACGCATGTCTTAAGGTTCAATAGCAAAGCAAGATAGACGAAATTTTATGGACAAAATAAACTGCAGAAACTGCAAGACACCATACTGGATAGAGTGATCACCCTCTTCCCATTCGTCCACATGAATATTAACTAGTAGTGAGGCGTCATGGTATACCTTCACTCATATCAATGCGCACAAACAATTGTAGACATGAATAAGCGATAAACAGACATACTAACATTGACCTAACCTCTCAACCAATCAGAAACAACACGAAGGTCAAATTCCAGGTCATCAGGATAAACTACTAACCGAATTGTAAAGAGAACCTTATAGATCCCTTCTTTGTAAATTTTGTACTGATAATGTTGTCTATAATGACAATGAAAGCCTCACCATTAAACCATCCAACTTAGAGAACAAAACAATATCAAAATTACCCTAGTAGTGTTTAGCTTCTCCTATCACCAAGGTTGGATTCAAAACTTATCATTCTACTTTGTTACATCTGTCCTATTTCCGTTCCCACTTTTGATACAAAACTCCAGGTGGGTGATCAAACTGTTAAAAATTTATGCTGCCAGTTACGTCATATTTTTCAGGTAAGTTATGTCTTCTAATTATTATTATTTGTCTCTTGGGTTACTAGTGAAACATGGGACTTCAGCAGCACGTCACCATTTCACTGTCTTCTCTCCAGTCTTCTCAACCTGGCTACACAACCTTTCATTTCTTCTTCACACGATCTCCTCCATGTCACACACGGCTCCGACGACCAACTCGTCTTTTCACATTTCGACTCCACTCAACGGCCTGACCTCGCCTGCCACGTGATGTCCCCAAACTGTCTTCTCAATATATGTCCAACTCATCTCCACTTTCTTCTACATCTTTGTTGCGCGAGGGGTTGTTAGTTAGTTGGTTCGTTGCCAGCCAGCAAGCCAGATTTCCTTGTTGTTCATTCTTATTATTCTGATCATCTGATCTTCAGTATCGATTGCAAGCAGCAGCTGTTAATGAATGTCTGTGGTTTGTTGGAAATACTTTTCGTAACGCGCCACCAAATCTCTTAACCATCAAGTAGAATCACTGACTTGCTTGGCTGACAGTTGTGTTGAAAATCCGGATGTTGTTCACGCTTTATACTGAGTGTGGTGGAGTGGAGTGGAGTGCTGTGCAGTGGGGTAGATATACACGCTGAT